TCCAAATTAATGTTTTACATTTTTGTATCCATCATTTCTCAGATGTAGATGGATCAGTCTGAAAATGTTTTTGCTGTGTTAGTCACGCTGATGCTGCCCTTTAAAAAGTACCATATGATGTTAGTGTGCTAGTAATTATTATGCCAAACAGATAAATCATTTTAGAATGTTCACATTTGAATGTAATGTCCTGTAGTTTGATATTTAGTTCACACTGGGGATGCCAAAAGCTCAAAGCCAAGAACAATCCACACAGTTTCATGACTCTTAATCTGCACCATGAACTTTTGAAGTGCATGCTCTACTTGGATAACATACATGTGAGGTAAGAAATAAAATCTCTTTTGCATCATTTATGAAACACAGAAGTTCATTCTTGAATGCCTTTCCAAAGGTTATGGTGGTTAGTAACTGTTGCTATGCATCATGCCTGGTGGTTGGTGAAGGCGCGGATGTATTAAAGCTGCTTGCCAAACAGTTGATCACTGCAGCGGCCGGCACTCGGGGAGAGGAACACAAAAGAGAACAGAGCGGCATCCAGATGGTCTAGGGACTTGGACTACCCAGAGTGCTTTGAAAGATTGGATTGATTTGCCCTCCATGGTATCAGTGAACACAGCCCAGCCCACAGGGGGGGCAACAGCCAGCGGTGACATAAATATAGAGACAAAAACAAGAAAATGCACACTCCCATTCCTGAGGTGTTGGCTAGAAATATAAGTCAACCCCTGCAGAGATTCAGTAATTAGAACACAATTCCTCTTTCTCCTCCTTGTGACCCCTGAGCTTGCCCTTGTATCTGTGTGTGTACAGTACACATGTGCAAGTTTGTGAGAAACAGAGACAGAGAATCCCTATCTCTCTTCACAGGACAGGAGATCAAACAGACTGTGTGAAATATAGAGCAGCAATAATTAGCAGCTGTTACAGCATCAAACCTCTCTATCTCTCCCTCTCTCTGACACTCACTCACACCAAACTGCTCATCTCTTATCTTATCATTTAGAGATGTTCAACAACTTCTCAGTCCTCCAATTCTGATAACTGTGGAGATTATACAAAATCAACCCACTCCATCTTGTCTTTCCATTTCATAAGAATTCAAATCACTCATAAAGTCTAAAGGGCAAAATGCATGAGAACAGTCATATAACAGAAAGCGTAAAAGCAATTACAGAACTTGAACAAAATTCACATGAATGTTATTATAAAAGCAGATGTACCAATGAATATCAAGTGCTTGGGACCTTCACTGTATTAAAAAGCAAAAAAGTCACAAAAGCACACAAGAGTTATTCACACAGGGGTCATGTGGAAATTAGTAATCACAATATCACTATACTTTCTGTCATTGACTGATTAAATCATTACCTAAGCCCTGAGATTCGCCCCCTGGTGTGTTCATATTTTTGCTATCGTGTGTGTGCATGTACAGTATGTGCTATGTGTGTAAGCACGCAGGAGTGTAAGTTGATTTATGATCGAGAAGAAGCAGTTTCCTCAGTCAATCGCTCTTGTGAATTAATGAGGTATAAAACCTAAAGCTGGCACTCAGTCAAACACACCAGCAGTCACAGAGCTCACTGCTGGAGCAGGAACACTTCTGTTGGCACCACATTTGATTGTTAGATTGTGGGTATAGATTGCATAGAGCAAAAAAGAGCCCCTCACGGCTACTGAAGCGATCCATCGACCCAAATTGCAATTCTGTATAAACGAGACACTTCCCATCTCTTGCTCTCTCTTTCATTTTTGTGTGGTCTCGCCTCTTACCCTTCTCTTTGATTCAACCAGGTCAGTGGGGCTGCGTTTAGCTCCCCCGGCTGTTCTCTCACTGTGCAGAAGAAAAGACACCATTACACTTCGTCCTCTCAATCCCACTCATTCAGAGTCTACATACGTTTCTTTCATATGTTTGAATGCTGCACAGTAGCAACATTCAAAGCACAATCTGCTTTGTAATATTATTATTACATAGAGAAAACCCTTTCGACACCTTTCCTCTCGCAGTGACATTCATTCAAAGTGTTCTTGAGTCGTGGCAGAGGGTGACATACAGTACCAGGCTGTTCCACTCCAATTTACATCTTTTTACTGAATCTCTGTGCCTCTGAGGAATAGTAGTATAGCAGGGATAATATTTCTACTCTTCTACCGAGCCAACAAATGACATTCAAAAGTTACTAGCAAAAATAAAGTTCAAAGGGATTGAGCCTCTCAATAGAAGAGTGCACTTAAAACTGAACTAAAAAAATCTAGTTTCCATCAGTTGAATAGTCAGGCATCCTCTTACTCATCCCATTTGACCGTGTGGTATTCCACATTTCTGATTCTACTTATGAAGTCTCTGGTTAATGCATCACTTTGTTGACTTTGTGAGCTTCTAAACTCCCAAAGAGGTACACTTCAAAGAGTTAATCTGTCACCACTGATGCATCAAGAGACATCGCAGTAGCTGTCAGTGCCATATAGGGAAAGCTAAAGTGGCTTCAGGATGTTTAGAACTTTAACATCAAAACTATATTACCCTGTATAATTCAGAGCCAGAAAGAAAGCACCTTTATCCTATACAACAACGTCTATTTGTGTTGCATTGTATTCATTTACTGTATGCTTGGCTCCCCTGTTGAGAAAATACCTGTTTGTGTAGGATTTGTAGTATGTAGAAGTAGCAACTGTATGTGAATTCCCTTCTACGATGGATTTAGCGATTAGAGAAGGTATAGGCTCTGTGATATTCTTAAACTTGGCAATCTCCCCAAGGACATGACACTGTCAGCACATTGCTTACAGTCATCTGGGCAAACATACACACACACACACACACACACACACACACACACACACACAGGTGTAATGGGGTATAATTTAGGAGGCGTAATAGTGAGATGCGATGCTCGGCTGTAAGACAGCATGGCTAATTCCCCAGTTATGTTATCTCTGAGAGACAGATGTTCCCACCAAAGATTATCCACACACAAAACAAAAATAACACACATACAAACTGTGTGCTTGTAGAAGGATGTATGAACACATCCAATCCTAAAACAAAAGAAGCAGCAGGACAATTTAAAAGACCTTATTGACCAGAAAAAATGATCAATGATGACGAAGACTTTTCTGAGAGTTAATTATGAGATGTAATGAGTTTCTGGGGGGGCAATGGTCCCTGTGCCCCCCTTGCTTGTATTACGGCCATCTTTTATCACAACCTTCATTTTGCTCTTAACTACATATGTGTAACATTTTATGATTGCATCTTTCACGGTTTTGACGATATCACTGTCACAAAATCTGCCCACACACACACTCTTAATTTTAAACTATCAAATGAATTGCATATTGGATATTGACCGCTTGCCGCCTACTGAATACAGGAAAAACACACTTTTCCATTAAGACCACTTTGACTAACCATATCACCTTTTAATGATCACAATAAGCCCCTACAAGGGTGTGGATATTAACCCTTCGTGTCGATCAATCAGCTGCAGAGCTTTTCCCGGGTCAGGCGCACTGCATCCATTACCGAAGAAATCCATCGTATACAGGAAATGGTTTTACTGCAAAGGATAAAGGTCACTTGATTCATGGCTTCTTGCAGTGGTTGTCAGGAAACCCTTGGGTCAGATAACCGTCACTCCCATTATGTCGTTAATTCAGTTTGAATGTACGGCCACTGCGTAAAGAAAGACATGTAGATGAGTAGCATGCCGTTCCTGTCAATCCTCAATTCAGGAGAGTTGTTTTGTCCCGTTTGTCTGTCATTGATTTAGCATAATTGAATAGCCATTAAACCTCTCTTGCATTCAAACACAAGGTGTTATTAATTCAAAAACATCCACATATCAGCTTTGAGAGGCTGAGAGAATGTCTTGCGTGCATTGAAGCACATTTGTGTGCTTGCGCACGACTTCAAGAGGATAATTACTCAAAATGAACATGTGAATGTGTATAAACAGTAGAAACTCCTTTCTCCTCTGAATTCTGATCTCCTTCCTCCTGTTTCCGTTTAACTGGTCTCAGTTTTAAATCTCAAATTCTGATAATTTCCCCTTTAATCTCTTCAAAGGAGCATCCTGCTTAAATCTCTAATTAAATTAACGAGACACACGTATATTAAAACAGGATGAATAGCACATGCACACAAAGCTCGTAGCATTCGGCTGATCTGATGCATGGACATTTGATGGTTACAGTGTGTGTGTGTTTATGGTAACTGAGTGTTTGTGTGTAATTAAATGATTAAATACCAATCAGGATGTTGTTATGACGACACATGCATTTTTAAACTGTTAATCCAGGATTATTCTCCTCTCCGCTCATCTCATTACTGTCGATTATTAAAAAAAACACAGAGCCACACACACATACGGGCCTGCTAATTATGGGTTGGTTTCCCTGGAGACTTAACACATTCTGCTCGGGTCTCCAAAAACAGTTTGACATAGGCCTACAGGTAAAAAAAAAGAAAGAAAAATCTGCTTAATGAATGAATTCACCTCAAGCCTCCACTATGCAACGTAATGATTTTTTGTTTATGCATGTATTTGTCAACTCGTGGACATTTGGAACACGAAAACATCCATCATCACTGCAGAACTGTGGTTTAGCAATGTATTTATACACCAATTATTATTTCTGTGCTTTGGCCTTTCAGAGCTATTCTGGCCTCTTAGAAAGCGATTTTCAGCATGGAGCGAGAAAGAATGCAAGTAAACAGTGAGTGTCCTTTCCCCATGATTGAATGTGTGTCCTTGTGTAGAAACTGCACTCCCCTCTCTGAGCAAGTGCAAACATTCCTGCAGAGCTGAGGCTGATGTACAGGTGAGAGAATGGCCAACGATTTTGAGATCACCCGAGGCTTTGTGTCCACTCTGGCCCACTCACTAGGGTCAGCTCAGAATAACCAGAAAGGGTTGACCGCTGTTCACTGACCCCTGGAGTCATTAATCACACAGCACTGCAGATGAGCCACATGGACACACGGTACACATCAATGTAGAAATGCACATACACACCAGAGCACATTTTAATTAAAAAGCCAAATGCTAGATGACAGCATCGCTCCAGGTAGTCAGTCCTCTAGGCCCATACTCCTGGTGCATTATCATACATTAAACATCACAAGAGTATAAGCATATTTCTGAGCAAAGCCGGGTCAGAGAATAACCACACATCATAGCACATTAAGCTATCATTTTCTGCAGCATATATACGCACACAGAACCATATCTGTTGTCTCTCCTGAGCTTTATTTTGTACGCTCCTTAAACTCAAACACGCATTATCAGATGGTGGTATCTGAACCCCTGTATTCCCAAACAGGCCTCTCAGCTTGATGCCGGGGCGCTATCAGGAGCAGGATCTCAGATAACATTCCCATTTACCGGTTATGAAATTCTTCAAAGGGGCCGCGCAGCAGTGGGTGCCTGTGGTGTGTTGCGCTTGTTAACAGGCATGGTGCATGGACTCTGTGGTATATGTGTGTTAAAGCATGCAAGTCACACACCGTCTCCCTACTAAATAGGTATATGGGGACGAAATGTCAGTTTATGAAGAAAAAAAACTCACCAAAAATATATCAGGGCTTGAGACAAGCCACAACTCTTGTGTTCAATATATTTTTGCAAGGAGCATTGAAGCTACTGTTCTTGTTGATATTTCAAAAATGTTATTGTTAAAACGTCATAATCGTTCTGTGTAGCTGTCCTAGTACAAAAGCCTTGCTCTTCATATAAGACTATTAAACACCTGCACTTTGGAAACAACATCCATAACATTCATCTGGCTGCAACTTACAAATTATTTATATATCATATTCCAATCACTTGTATATAGACTCTTATTGCATTTCACATTTGCTTTTAATGTTTTTACTGTTTTATTGTGTTGTACTGTTGGAGGAGCCTGTGAACTAAGATTTTCATTGACATAACTACACTGTAGCTATGTACGTATGACTAATAAAAAGCCTTGAACCTTGAATTGTAAAACATAACAGAAAAATAAAAGCATCAGTCGACTCTTGCGCCGTTCCCTTACACCTACTGATGGTGTTACCCTGTCTGAGAATTGAAATACTGCAATGTGAAAAAAAGAGTCTTCCACCAGCCACTTTGAACAGTCAGAGAAACATGCTGCATAAGTTAATGTGTCTTTCCTTGTTAAATCCAATGAACAAAAAAGGGGTGAAAAACCCAAAGCAGGAAAATAAACTGAATAGCATTAAAAACTTGCAATACTAGAAGCCTTACATAAAAAAGACAACATTAACTGTTTGTTGGCAGACACAGTTTTATAATAAAACCCACTTCCTGTTGAGATATTTCATTTGTCTGCAGTCTGAGAAGGAAACACTGCTACTACTGCTGCTGCTATCGTATTAAAGAAAGATAAAGTAATTCAACTGAAGGGGTTGTGCATTTTTGTTTGTGTTTGCTTGTAAAAACCAATGCGTGGGTGTGTATAAGAGGTAAAGCATTCTGAGGTGTTTTGCTTTTGCTGCTGGTAAGAAGTAAAGCTCTAAAACAAATGTCTTTCATCAACATCTGTCAAGGAGATTAAGGGAAGCATTAGTCAAGTATGAGCTTATTTCACCAAACGCATTAAACAACTGACTGAAAGAGATTTAGGAGACTGCAGCTTTTAATGCCACTCTTTTTTTGTGAAACTCACTTCAAATTCCATCTCTGATAAACTGGTATAAAATGATAACCAGCACAAAAGGCACTTTAGAGAGTGCACTACAACATTTCACTAGAGGGAAGGAGACGGAAATGACAGAATAAAAGTAAAGGAGGCTGTGGTCAGTGTTCCATGGGTGCCTCTGCAGCATCCTCCTCCTCATCACTACAGGGTTCATAGTCTTCATCCAAAAAAGGATCTTCCTCCTCTCCCTCTAGCTCTCCTCCCAGATCACCGAGCAGCTGTTCCACATGCTCCGACATCGGCTGGTCATCACATCGCAGCTTAATGTACAGCTGGGGAAAATGGGGAAAGAGAAAAAAATACAAAAAGGGATGATTCAAGTGCGTAATGGAGTGGCAAGTAGAGTGGAAAAAAACAGCACATTTTTAAGTAGAAAGTAGGTTATACAGCAAAAATGTTGAGGGGGAACATGAAGTGAATTATACTGCAGAGGCATTACACGAAATGAGATATGGTGAGTGACAAGCTCTTGACTGAGGCTGCAGCCACACAAGGACGATAACGGTCGTATCAGTTCTCTATCAGATAGATGGTTCGGCCACACGAGACCGACACGGAAACGCAGAAAACGATAACGGGTCCCAAGGTGGGTAGATCTGCGGACGAAACGCTCTGGGGGGGCAAACGGCTCCGTGATTACGCCCTATAACGATCATTTCATGATGATGACGCAATAGCCCCAGTCAGAGCCCAGTGTTTCGAGCCAGGTCCCGGTATCTCGCTAGGACAGCGCACCCAGCAGGAGCTTCCAGCTAGATTTGATCGATATAGACATAAACGCGAGTGAAGTCTAATCGGACAGGAGAGGAAACGCGAAGCTCTGCATGATAACCTGCAGCTCCGCCCGCTGTGATGGAGCGATGAGCGGAACAAAACACACACTTCAAGTTAGATAATCACCCTTAGCTATTTTAATTACCTCTCAAACTACCTAAACTAGTTATAAATATGTTTATTTTTACTGTCGGGTCACTCATTACTGGATCAGCAGCTGCATGAGACCACGGATACTGACGGGCTGACAGGAGAGGGGGAGGAAAAGAGAGGCTCCGTCCTCCGTGTATTATTCTAATATTCTAATATAGTCGTTATTCATTTGTTTTCAAGCTCAATAAATAACAAAGAAGAGCTTTGACCGGCACTTTTCTAATTTTGTCCGGAAGATTTAAACTTTAACGGACATGTTGACCGGCGAAACCCCACCTCTGCTGCTAAATCCAGCGCGGAGAATAAACAGAAGGGCAACCATGCATGCATGCATGCATGCATGCCGAGAAGTCTTCTTCGCTGCTTTTGGTGTATTTTGTGGAAGAAGTACAGCGCCACTTACAGGCCCGGCATATGTACCACAGCGTCTCCAGCGGTTCGAGCTGTCTCGTGTGGACGGACACGTTTCTGGTGCCTATTGCGTGTGGACGGAAGACTTTTTTGATAACGATTTCGGTGCGTTTCCGTGATTGTCCTCGTGTCGCTGCAGCCTGAGGCTCTTCCGTTGTGTCACCGAAGATAACAGTACATCACTACAGCATCGGTAAGCAGCCGCTTGGAGTTGAGGGAAGTGAGCAGCCCTGAGGTTTTAAGTCTCCAAGTGCTGGTTAGAGTGCCTGAAATATCCAACAGCAGCTGCATTCTGTCAGCGGGGGCAGTCACGGCTCACAAAACGCTGGTAAACAGTTTTTGTCTTTCATTTGGCAAATCAGCACATTTGATTCACCGTTCAGCTGCACAAGAAACAAAAAGACCATTTATCTTCCTCTGGCTGCTGCAACATGCATGCGCACACATGCAGGGAAATGTATCCTGAAGCACATATGGTTATGTGGCGTACATGTGCACGCATACACACACTATCAAAGCCGTTATCTCAGTGAATGAAATATGCCGTGAAAGAGCGAGATAAAAAAAAAAGTTCTGTTCTGAAAGCAGCCAGCAAGTTTATCTCTGTAAAATACTCTGCTTGTGTGTAATTACTGAACTCAAAGTGAAGTTGGGTGATACAATTACTGGAGCTACCACCAAAGCATAACACTGGGTTTCTATGTGTGCATAAAAAGGGCGACTGAAACAGCAATTTATGCTTTACTTTTCAGAAATACAACTAGGAAGAAAAGGAGGGAGGGAGAGAATGGCTTTAAGTTCCATGAATATTATTCCATTTAGTATTACAGAACACACACACACACACGGTCCCTTGAGCTCAGGACAATAAGCAGCTGAGTGCCATCATTCTTACTAAAAGTGTAACGAAGCCAGGAGAGTAAAGAAGAGTGTATGCGACTGCTTTGCCCCAGGACTGGTCTCTAAGCAACAGCAGGTCCTGACAGGAGACACACGATCCCATGGGAACTCATTTGGAGGGTAAGAATCTGTAGAGTGTGTGTATGTATTTAAGTGGATGCCGTCTCCCCAGGTCTGAGCTCCAGGGAGGTAGAGCGTGACCCAGGTCCAAGACACAGGGTCTGATACCACGGGAGAGCCAACCCTCATAGCCACACACACACACACACACACACACACACCACACACACACACACACACACACCACACACACACACACACACACACACACACACACACACACACACACACACACACACACACACACACACACACACACACACACACACACACACACACACACACTAACACACACACACACACACCACACACACCCACACACACACCACACACACACACCACACACACAACACCACACACACACAGTCACTCTTAAAATGCTTGGAGATGTTTTATCACAACAAGCACTCTGAATAAAAGTTGGGTTTACATTACATTTGTCCTAGCTCAATACTCAGTATTATTGCACATTACAGTCTTAAGAGTTAGAGGGTGTCCTTTATGCGCATAAGAGAAATAGTGTCAGAAATAAAGTGAATTCGAAAACAAGAAAACACATTGTTCTAGCGAATCTGAATGCTAAGTGGAAAATCGTATTTCTACGTGGTGATATTTCCAACAAATCAATAGCATATTGTCCTGCAGGATAGGAATGTGATTATTCATTGTGATGCTTTCGGCTAGCTAAACAAACAGGAGCTATTCTTTACGCACTCCGAGCCGAACGCTGCTGAGATCAGCACCGCTGTCGCAAGAAAACACAGGCATTTCTCATTTACAGCAGCCTATGTTTCTCTTCTCACTTTCACGGCCCAGAGAGCTGCCTAGAGTGGGAGGTGTGTGTGTGTGTGTGTGTGTGTGTGTGTGTGTGTGTGTGTGTGTGTGTGTGTGTAATTGTATAACTCTTTCATGGTCCACTTTGCTCTACTTTCGAGTCCTAAGTCACAGCCCAAAGCACACTTGACCACCACCAGAACAACTCGAAAACGCACACACTATTTTACACTTACACACGAAGGGGTGCATGGACACTTCTGTAATCAGCAACAACTCGCAATTTTTTTTGCAGCCATGTTAGCTCCATGGCTCTAGAGGTGGCAGTGTAAATCTGTCAGTTGGTCCACTGCTTTTGTTCAGACTGAAAAATCTCAACACCTTTTGGATGAATGGCCATGAAATGTTTTACAGACGTTCAAGCTACCCAGAACATGAATACTTCTGACTTTGATGATCCCCTGACCCTCCTGTAGTGCAACAATAAATCTGACACAAATATCAGCATGTAAACATTAGCATTTAGCTAAAGTTCTGCAGTGCTCAGCCTCAAAGAGCCGCAAGCATGGCGGTAGATTTTAGTCTGGTTTATACTCACATGTGATGTGGTTTCAAAATGAAAAAGTCTGTTTCACATATTAGACAAACAGTCACTGTCAATGAGAAACTGTTGGCATAAGGGATGTAAACATGGTCAAATGTAATTGATCTCAAAATGTGAGATGAGTGGACCCGTTGCAGAAGCAATTTATCCTGGAGATTTTTTGTTCTTACTGTATTTCTCTACTTATGGTCTTCCCTTTGCTATTGTATGTTCACGTGGTAACTGGCATAATTCAAAACAAGGAAACCAATTTGAAACTTTAAATGCGATTGTTATCTGAGTTTACAAACACGATGTGGCATACACCAACATGGCAGCATTCACGGGGAAGACTCTTGCAAAGAAAAGCCAGGGAAGTTTGACTTTGTGATAATGAGAGTAAAGGCTCCAATCCTCTGCAACAGAATTGAACAGGCGTATGGATTTTAATACAAAACCGAATGACTTTCGCTCAATCTGCAAAATGCACCGAGTGCAAGTGCTTCTGGGGCCAAATGAGGTCTCACCCTGTTTATGGACATTATATTGCAGCCTGGAAGGGCGTTAGACTTGGTTGATAGGAATAGCCATTTTTTGTGGAAAAGTAAGAAAGAAAGTTTAAATGCACCATGTAACTTAAAAATCTAAATGATGCTTTCATTAATGTATGACCCTACAATTCTTTTATTTCTGTGGATGCATAATATAGTGTGTTCCAGCATAGATTATCTGTAAATGCTATCTTTTGTATAGCATGCAGCAGACAAAAGAGTAATAATATGCACTAATGTACCCTTCATCCCTTAATTGATTCTTTACTCCTCTTTCTTTAAAGAAACCTTTCTTGCAGCTCAGAATAAAGACAGGCTGGTTATGTAGTGAAAGCCTAATCATTTCATCATTGTTCACATTCTGTCCAACACATTAAATTCCTCTTTCATTTTACCTCTCCTTTTATTTAATTTCCTAAAGCCTTCATTCTTCTGGCTTGTCTCCTGACCATTATTATTACCTTGTGCACTTTGTCTTTGACTTCCCTTCGCTCACACTACTTTCACATTTGTATCCAAATTACCTTCCTATCAAAAAGGTAGAAGCCTTTTTATACTTTTAATATTGTGCCTCCATGTACTAACGTGTGTGATTTTTTGTAGAAGCTTTACCGCCTTTCAACGTCCCTCTGTATCCTGAGTCATGACCTCCCTAAGTCTTTTTAAGACCAAACACTACTGGACATCTCTTCATTAGTAAAAGCTATATCAAATAAAAAGTATTCCAATAAATGTTCCTGCTCCGACTTCACTCTGGCTCTGTGTGAAAAAATACACATATTTCTTGAAAAGGGCGTGACACTGGCTGAGATTAGACTTTCTTCTGTGTGAGCAGGGCATGTTGCTGGAGTCTCAATAGGGACACACACCAACACACACACACACACACACACACACACACACACACACACACACACACACACACACACACACACACACCACACACCACACACACACACACACACACACACACACACACACACACACCACACACACACACACACACACACACACACACACACACACACACACACACACACACACACACACACACACACACCCACACACACAACACACACACACACACACACACACACACACACACACACACACACACACACACACACACACACACACCACACTTCAGTCCTTTAGTCACATCCTTCGTAGGGAAAGGCATTAAAATTACATGACAAGCACACCTTGGACCAACCCGACCCACAATCTGTGCTCATGGGATGCCCTTTCAGCCCCATCAACAAGTAAAGCTTTTGACCTCCGTTTACCCTAGCTGCCTCTGTGCACACTCACACACCTGTACACACTCACACACACTAACACACATATAGAACGCTGTCCTCTGTGCATACACTGCAGATCCTTCTTCAATCGCACCCTATCTGGCTGAGACTCAAATTCCATTTCACGTCCGGTTTACTATTGATTTTACCCTTGCCACTATTCACCAGCTACACCCCCTGCACCCACACACACCATCCAATTTGTTCCCTTCCTCGCCCCCCCTCTCATTCTCCCACTCCGCTCCTCTCTTACACTTCTTGCTCGTCCTCTCAAGCATCATTCCTTTTTAGAGCATCTCAGCTGAATGTGTGTGTGTGTGCGTGTGTGTGTTTGTGTGTGTGAGAGGCGCACAAGTATCGATCACAGAAGAGATGAATAATGAAGACATTCCTTAACAAATAATTAGATATGCAAGTTGGCACACACAACCATAATTAAATATGTGCATCCACATAAGGTGCTCCTACGCATACCCGCATGCCTTCTCTTTCACAGTGCATGCACACACACACACACACACACACACACACACACACACACACACACACACACACACACACACCACACACACACACACACACACACACACACACACACACACACACACACACACACACCACACACACACACACACACACACACACACACACACACACACACACACACACACACACACACCACACACACACACACACACACACACACACACACACACACACACACACACACACACACACACACACACACACACACACACACACACACACACACACACACACACACACACACACACACACACACACTAAAGTATGCAGAGAAGTGGACTGGCGCCAAAACAAGCCGTTGGGCTTTGAGGCCTCATTTACATGTTGGAGCCTATTTTAACTAGAAGACTGACTCATCGTTAATAATTAACACTCAGTGACGCTCAAAAACAAAGCTCTGATATAAACAAGAGAAAATCGCAACTGCATGATGTATAGATGCACACACATGAGTGAAAGCGGATAAATTAGAAATGAAGTGAACCATGAGTGGGGCTGTTTTCTTTTCCACATTACACTTCACCTTTTCAAGGTCTTTGTGCATTTAACACTCACATTATTCTGAGCCCGTTGCTTTACTCACTCAACAAAGAAAAAGCTCTGCTGTTTACTTGTCACGCTCTGACGGCTCACCCAATGCTTTTGTCAGACTTTCACCTTTTTATCCCTTTGCATTCTTTCTCTCTGTGCAAAAATGATTAGCTACGTAATTGTGCCTATTTCTCAAGTCCAGCTTTTTCATTCTTTATTAAGACTCACAACAAAGCTTGCAAACTCAAATCTACAAGCGCTCTGCGCTATTATTTTTCTTCCCCACAGTTTCTTCCATTCTCCCTCTTGGCAGCTGAAAGCCCACCGCACTCCCGTGTCAGTTGTGGATATTCCCACTGGATGCTGGTTAGACAGGCTTGTCACTACACTGCTGGCCAGAGAGACAGACATCAATATATTGCCACTCTGCTGCCCCTTCTCATCAGTAGGGGAACACAATGTGGCAGGAGAGCAGGAGGGGGGGTGGGTAGCAGGGGGGGAGAGGAAAGTAAAGAGAAAGGGAAGAAAAAAAAGATGGGTGGGGCCTGCCATCCCTCAGTCTGCACTGTCTGATTTACAAGCCTATTGGATTTTAGACTAACATGAATCACGGCCCCATAGTGGCATTGCTCCTTGACAGAATGACAGAATGAATGAGACACACCAAATTGTGTGTGTGTGTGTGTGTGTGTGTGTGTGTGCAAGCAAGGGGGAATGGGAGAGAGACAGGGGTATATTTAAACCTCTTTGAGAATGTGCTTAAAGACATTTCTGTGGTAACAATGGAGTTTAGTTAGAACCCTCTCATGTTAAAAGTACTGCATGTTCTCCTTCTCTTACAATAACTTGTTCTCAGGAGTATTACCTATTGTGACAGTGTAATGGATGTTACTATTTGTGTCCAGAGTTTCTATGTGCAGTGATTGAGGTAAAAGTAGCAATACCGCCTTTTGAGAATACTACATAACGAGTTAAAGTGCTGCATTTCAAAGTATCTAGGTCTTCCATAGAAAATAGTACATATGGCTCTCGGACAAATGTACTGAAGTAAAAGAGTACTAACAGTTCCTCTGAAATCTAATGTAATAGAACTACAAATTATCCTGAAAAGGAAAAACTCAAGTATTAATGTCTCAATTGTATATTCAAGTAAAGTACTTAAAACATGGTCAATAATGGTAACAAATTCAGTTGTATTTATATGTATCAGATGAACTACAGTTTACTGTATCTGCATCATTAAAAACAAACAATCGTTGGTTTCGTTGGCAGATTGTATGACATGCATTACCTTCTTAGCATTGGTCAGGTACGATCTGGCCACCTCCTGCAACGCCTTCCACTCCTCCGTCTCCTCCTCCGTCACTTCTCTTCCCTCTCTTTCCTGCAGTTCTTTGGCTTTCTCCAGCTGGAGGTAGCACACCCAGCCGGAGAGATACCACACCTGGGAGGTACAGAGAAAGAGAGGCGGGTTATGGGGGACGTGAGGCACAGAGACTCGGACAGAGAGAAAGTGTTTTTTGTTGCAGTAAGTGAGCTGTGTGAAACAGATTTGATACCCTCACAGAGCACGGCCGCATGAATTCCCACGTTTTTTTTCTTTTTCCGGTTTCACACATAAAACATGGAATGACACGGATGCGAAAGCAATCCATCACATAATAACAGTCAACCTGATCTAATGCTGACATATACTTTACTCATTAAACAATGCAGCATGAATAATGCACATAAATGCAAATACTGTAGGTTTACAATTAATTTAAACCTGACTTGGCCATCTTACCATCTGTCGCTTCCAATTTGTTTTTGTATCTTTCAATAGCAAAAAATGTAATAACTTTGTTGAACCATATACCAACACATCATTTATGAAAAATAAAAGCCCTCAGGCACACATCTTTGCATTTCAAATATTATCATACTCAGGTTGTGTTGTGTACAATATTAAACTTCCTGATCTTTTAGATGGGAAACTATTTTTGAAAGCTGGATTACAGTAGTGGGCTAAGCGAATTCTGGTTTTCTAATTACACACTGGTGACTATTTTTTATCAAGGTACATCACCATGGTTACTTCAGCTCCATACCTGATGCAGAGAATTAAAGGCAAACATACAAAGATGTTTCCTTAGAAATCACTATTTCTGTTCTACTTTATTCAAGCATTATGTAAGTTAATTTTCTACATTTTTACAAGTAGAACAAGACTATCATCTTAATTTAATACAAAACGTTGGACCCATGCATGTGGCAAATGATAGTGGCCATTTTTGTAAATTCTTCTAAAGCCTCATTTATTCAACATGCCAAGAGTTGGACTGGAGGTGTGTGTGTGTGTGTGTGTGTGTGTGTGTGTGTGTGTGTGTGTGGTGTGTGTGTGTGTGTGTGTGTGTGTGTGTGTGTGTGTGTGTGTGTGTGTGTGTGTGCCTCTCATCGAAGGCCAAAGTTCACTCACCACCCACTGTTCCTCAAGCACCAAGACACAAATATTTGCTTTATTCATTATTCATTGAGGGCAGAGGCAGGAGGAACCTGCACCTCTGCCAAATCAACCATTTAGCTAACAAACACATCAAGCATACCACACTGAATTCAGAATTGCCACTGAGCATGCCGAGTGGGAGGCTACCCCCTGCAGCCATACTTATCAGAACAACAGCAGCACTGGATAAATGTAGTAATGTTGCAGATCCAGCAGTAGGACATTTATGTCACTAAAACATTTTCTGTGAATGCAGAACCCCACGAAAATGTGTTGTTTAAATATGCATACATTAAGAAAGGGTGAAATAAGGTCACTTACACATTTGAACTTCCTTAATAACGAGAAACCAATGTTTCTTTAAAGCTGGTCTACCACAAACAGTTGTGTATGTGGTAAGGTGGCGTGTGCATCCACACAAAATTAAAACATGAGAAAGTTAGCTAATTAAGAACTTTAGAGGATTCACTCTACCCTACCACAACCCCACACAGAAGCACTCAAAATCAAATAAACGCTGCGTCTGTCAATCAAATCACTGAGGCTATTGTCTTTTTAAAGGGAATGCACATCTTAGTTCCCATATGGTGCCGCTGAAGGAAGAACAAAAGCATCATGAATCAACTGAATACCTTTGAAACAAGATTTGCAAGGAACCAGCTGAGTTGTTTGTGCAGACTTAACAATTTATAAGTAAGGCTCCAACTTTGAGATACGCAAGAGCAAGAAGTCGGAGGCGAGAGCTAACAATTTATCTCCTGCACTTAAGAGAGGAAATAAGAAAGAGAGTAAGACAATAGAGGGAAGAGAGAGGGGGAGAGGAGGGGGGGAGCAGGCAAATGTGTCCATCATACACTCCTGACATCACTAGTATGTCTCCAGCATAAAACCAGTGGTACAATCTGCCAAAACACTGTCTGACCATTCCAAGCGGTGACTGTATGCATATGTGATTGGCTATGGGCCAGCTCAAATCAAGTGTCACAGCTGTGTAAGTCTCTGGAGTGAGTTTAAAAGTGCAGCCCCCCGATGACTGCTCTCAATCTGTCAGCTGAGGGGTGTGTGTGGGAGGGCTGAGCCTGAGGGGGAGTGGGGGAGGAAGAGAGAGAGAGAGAGATTGCTGTTCTCCTCTATCTGACACTCAGTGGTACACCTTCACTTAATCTGCCACTGACAGTGGGGATTTGAGCACACTGACAGTGACGGCACAAACTTCCTACTAAAGCGCAGAAAGTACTGCCATTTACATCACTCTTTAATAAGCAGTAATGCAAGGGTGTGTGCACATTTCTTTGTGCGCACACACATAAACAGTGGCTTAGCAGAAGCAACTTAGTGAACAGGTTGAAGTTTGCTCCTTCCCACAAGTATCCATACTGTCTTATAAGAATGAGAATGCCTGCAAGGGGATAACAAAGGCGTCACTTACGGCCCGTCCACACAGCGGCGTGCGTTGAAGCTTCAACACTTCAGCCCATTCACTTTGAATGGGGTGACGTCACGCTTCGCCGAACTGCATTGTGGGAGCGAAGCGTAGCTTTGCTCGCTGCAAAAGTTGAGCAATGTTCAACTTTTGAAGCTTCGACGGAAGCGTCAGCCAATCGAATCATATGCCAGTACAAGCTCTAGCCAATCAAACCGCTGCTTGTGTGTCCGGGGCGGGAGATTCAGGTGATTGGTTGTTGGTCTAGCTTCAGACATGCCCGCCGGCAAGCGACAACGCACGCCACTGTGTGGACGGGCCGTTAGTCCTGTGCCTGGGCAAGTCACACACATATCACCAAAACACAGTTTGCTCAAGAGTCGTCAATTGGTCTGGAAACATTAGCCTGATAGTCGGACTGAAGTAGGTCTGACACTGGGTTCGTATTAACACATTTCTTGCTAGGTGTGATCTTTTGTTTCCTTTAACTCTGGATAATCACTAAGGCAAATTGATGAAGCTGTAGAAGCAGTTGCTAAGAGCTTGAAGTTGTTCACGTTTCATTTGAAATGCAGATTTGAGACTTGTTTCTATAGTCACCGCACAGCTGCATCAACCTCATCCACTCTTTCATCCCTACACTAATGGTTCTTTGCTATGTCTTCATGGATGTAGCTTACTTGCTATTTGTTAGCATAATACCAGACCAACTGATATAAAATGCTGCGCTTGTTTGGCCTTGTCAGCCACCATTCAGGCTAGAGATAGACAGGCCGGAAATACCACACCAATTAATCAAAACATTTGATAAAGATAACGGATTGATAAACTGCTTCAGTTCTGATTTCTGAGTTGACTTTCAGGGGCAGTAAACTCTGCCTTTTCAAACAAAATAAGAAATATGAATAAAAGCTTATCACCACATTTCTTTAGGCAAAACAGCTGGGCCATAATTATTTCATTGCTTACCTGGACGACTTCATCGTCCTCTTCCAGGAGACCCTCCAACACATCTACTGCCACCTGAAGCAGAGAAAGACAGAGAAACAAAGAGAGAGAGTCAATAACATGTAACACTCATCAGACAATATCATCATACAAATAATAACATTAAAGGTTTAACACATTCATCAGTACATATTCATAAATATAGCCTTGACATGAACGTACAGACAAACATGTCGTTATTGCACAAAGTGTGTGCATCTCCCAGAAAGTGCGATCAATCAAGAGGGATCAAAGGATTTGATAAGTGTCTATGAGGTCAGTGTCCCATACACAGCACTTCGATACCAAACAAGACAACAGACATGGCTGTCGATAGACACACTCATCACCAGTGCTTATCGTACAGTCAATAGTCACTTTGGCTGCTCTGTTCGATAGCCCTTTTAATCTATTTACATTCATTAACATATCATCTATTCTTAAAACCCATATAACTCTAAACGATGCATAATAAACTTAAATACCAGCCTGACCCCTCTTATCTTCCATCCCTCTCCTTGAGGTCTAAAATGAGTTTAATTTGAGGTGACCTTTGCCATCGAGCGTCACTGTCTGGGTCGGTTTCTGTGGGAAGTTTATATTACAGAAAGCAGACCTGGACTTGAGGCTGTGTGTTTGTTTTGCTCTGCCTCTCTCCTTGTGGATGCTGTGGTTGTGGTTGGTGTGTGTGTTTTTGTGTGTTTGTGAGGCCCGAGGTGATGATGTATTGATTTTTGTCAACTTCAGGTTGGAGGCGACTGTTAGCCAATCACCCATGGTGAAGGGCAAGAATAAAAGACATGCACGTATCTGTGCACGCACTGACACACTGCTGCATAGTCACACACTACAACAAAGCTACACACAGCAGTGAACACAACAAGCAGCACTTGTTTCTTGTTAAGGCAGACTTATTAGCTGGAGAGCTTCCTCATTTTCTTTTCCCTCACGTTCTTTGGAGTTCTCTCGTCTTTTCATTAAGCCGGTTTGCTTCCGGTGGCGATAAAGAGGTCAGTTGCCAGGGAGTGCCAGGTTAATTGAGATTATCTCATTAAGAGTGTGCAAATGTGCATGTCAGGGAGTCAGTTGATTGATTGCTGGACCAATTATCTTCTGAAAACCCATTGTATTAAATTAATTAATGACTGATTAAAAATACACAAACAAAAACACCTAATCCCAGTTGATGATGAATAGATTCATGTCCAGCGTCAGAATTATCTACTTGACTTTCACTGTATCACACACAACCTAACACACACACAAACACACAAACAGTCATTTGTGCTGGGCACTAGATATAACAGATAAGAATAAAGGTCTGTATGGGTTTTAAACAACTGATAAGACAGGCCATTTTGGAGCAACAAAAATAGAAGAAGAGATATCTGGGAGCAATGATAACCAATATATCATCTCCAACTGTACTGCTTCCTAACTACACTGGTCAACCCGGGGGCTAGTGATTAAAGATTCAGAGATTCTTAAACCTCTTCACGCTCTAAACAACAACAAGATTAATATTCGCGAGGAGATAAGGGGAAGAGAGGGGGACTACGAGGGAAAAAGTGTGAAAATTAGAAGGAAGGGCACAAAAAGGATCTTAATAAACAATGCAAGACTGGTCCATGAACAACAACAGTGCACTGTAAAGACAAACACACATTGTAAAGACTATACATACATGCTGCCCTCTTTATTTAAAGACCTCTTACAGATTTAAAAAAGCAACAATCCTGGAAGCCACTCATTGATAATGGCAATTTGTTGTGTGTGTGTGTGTGTGTGTGTGTGTGTGTGTGTGTGTGTGTGTGTGTGTGTGTGTGTGTGTGTGTGTGTGTGTGTGTGTGTGTGTGTGTGTGTGTGTGTGTGTGAGATCTCCAGGCAATTGTGTTTAACAGAATGATTTTACCAGAGCGCACAGCAGTGACAGGAGAAAGACAAATCACTTTACAAGCGAGGGCAAACCGTATCTCCAACACACAGAAACCCATACAAAAATGCAAACACACACACTCACAGACAGACACACATGCACACACAGGGACATCTAAACTTAAGTAAATAAATCATTGGGATGTCAAAGCTAACAGTTATTTCAAGCAACATTGGAAAGTACAAGCTCCATCGTGAACTAAATTGAAGAATAGAAATATTCAAGGGAATACATGAAAGCAAACAAGAGTGACAACGACCAGAAGAGTGACTAACCATCATCTGCGTGTGACTACTCTGAACAGACACGTCAATGGCTGCCAGAGGAGGCCGTCTGTCTGTCTGCTATGTGGCATGTGAATTCTTAGTGGTGAGGGGTGATGATGATGATGATGATGGTGGGGTGTGTGGTATATGTCTGTGTGTTTGACAGTGACTTGAGAAGACTGCAGACTCTGAAGCCCGCATAGTTGCCACAAAGCACTTTTGCTAAAAAAGCAGGCAACATGTACGTTTCATAAAAAAAGATTGATAAACCACTTCTTTTTTTTTAAACATGATTTTATGGATAGTCTTTGAAGTTCGGATTAAATTAATTGCTGAAAACTTGTTTAAGCTGATTGTTTAGATCAACCAATGGTCCAAAACCGTATAAAACCCAAACACTTATTACTCACAATGACAAAAAGCAAAGAAAAAACTGCAAATTGTCTCTTGGGAAAATTGTTGGTGTTCTTGCTTGAAAAATTATTTATAGGATTAAGAGATTTAAAAAAAGCAAATACGATGCTGCTCGTCCTGCACTTCTATATAAAATAAGTATTTTAGGGATTTCTTTGGAGAAGACGCACAACTATCTATTTTGTGATATATCGTTTCCATCATGCTATACAGTTATTTTTCCAGAATAACTATGGAGATAATATGATAACAGCCAGATATTTTGGCAAATGCAATAACTATTATTTTTGCGAAATGACTCATTTGATCAAACTACATAATTGGACTGAATGTACAAGCCCAAACTGCAGTCATCATACAAAGAGCTTAATCTCCAACAGAGAAAGACAAATGCTTTTTGGCAAAGAACAAAGTAGTCCTACCACTTTTGCTATTCTAAAATTAACTGTTATTTAGCACAAATAACCACATTCTCTAGGCAGGAACAGGAAACTCAAATATGCCTCGTACCGGTATGTTTCTTTGGCTTATACATTAAACACAATTTCAAAGCTTGGCTGAGTTTGAAAGAACAAACTGAAAAAATACAGGCAAATGGAAGCACTCTGGCACCCTGCTAAAAAGGTGGCAGAGGAAGCACACAACTTTATACAGAGTTTAGTTGTGAATAGCTATAGTCCATAGGGAGAGATAAATAGCACAAAAATGAGTGAGGGTGTGTGTATATGACAGTGCAGGAGAGGAAGGAAAGAGAAGAGGGTATGTTCATTCTGCGAAGTCCCAGTCTGGGAGAGACAGAAAGAAAATAACTTGCTTCTACTTCACTCCTATCCTTAAGCTCAATTTCCATCAGACCTTTCACATGGCTGATAGCCAAAAGCAAATATGTCCAACCTTGCCCATGGATGTGTGTATGCCTGTGTGTGCATGCATACAGCAAAATAAAGCACACACCTAATATGTGCTGTTTGCGTTTCGGTCTTGATGACACCAAAAGGAGTATGAAGACAAATGACATGTCAGAAACTGTGGACCGAGACGTTGCATTTTACTGATGCACATGACAGACCATCTCCCCCATGTGTGTACACACACACACACACACTGCAGCTGAGCCGTTTAGGATAGATGGGAAAAATGGACACAGTTCTCATTTCCTGTCTGTAATAACCATAAACCACTCAACAAGAGTGACTACAAATTAATCACTGGATCACAACAGAAAATAGCTGAACCACCGCTGGTGTCGCAGTCACAGTAATCACAGAAAATGACTTGAAGCCTTAATGACTGTAAGGGGTTTAGCCCCGAACTGAAGGCATGGAGCCACTGATTCAAGGCCATTCATTCTGGAAATTGACGTGTGATCTAGAAGTGCGCCGTATCACAGATATGGCAGCAATTCATTAGACTACAGCATCCTTCCTTTTTTTTCTTCCTTTCTTCACATCCTTCCTCCTGTGCTGCCCCTTACCTCTGTCCCTCTCTGTAAATACCACTCTTCAATTATTGACACTGAACTCTGGAAGGGATAAAGACCAAGCATGGCCTTTCCACCTTCACCAGAAGCACATTCATATCCACACATGCACACACAAACACACACAAATGCCAGGCACCCCTATTAACAGAAAACATACAAAGACCAAAAAAAGCACATCATTTTACCTCAAATTCCTCAGATTCAAGGAGCAGTTTGGCTGTGGTGACACGTGACTCGTATGGAGGGATCTCATTCTGGGGGGAAAAAGACAACACCGTCATCTTTACAGTGTTTACACAAACATAGTTCTTCCTTTGTCTGATAATGCCACGATCCAATTTCAAGGTACAAAACATTCTGTAGCTATGTGGCTGTTAATCACAGCGAAAGTGTGGGCAGGCTGGGTTCAGATCAACCTGCTCCTGAAGATAAGAGTCACAGCAGTTGTGCCACTGGGATTTCTTTCATATCAACACCCCCTTCCGTCTTATTTATACCACCGTTTCTCAATATTTGAATGTAAACGCAAGTGCCATTTATTTGGTGTAGTTGAGAACCTACCCTGCGTTGACATTAGAGCCATTTATTTCTTATTGCCAAATTCCCTGTAGTAATTTACTTACTTATCCTTTATACACTTTCCTGGTTGCGCCTTGTGCTTTAATATCTGCTCTGTGTTTACACAGGCTGTTACGGTTGCTGTTTCTGTCTGCTCATTAATCTGCCTGTGAGTGTTTTAGCTGTGTGTGTAATATTTAAATAAGCTGCGAGGTAGTCCTGATACAATTGGCTGTCCCGCCCTCACAACGTCTGAAACGGTGACCACTTATAATTGTTACCAATTCCACTCTGGTCGTGTCGCTTCCCTTTGGTTCCCCTAGCCCAATAGGGAACGTAACACGTGGGGGCTCTCGTCCGGGATATTTAAATTAATTCCTGGGGTTATAGGTGGTTTTCTTATAGCTATACATTTTGTAAAAACGTGTGGGCGGTACACCCGAGAATGGCATCCATCACTTTAGAATCGTTCTTGGTCTGGCCGTCCTATGAGGAGCTGGATCGGTGTAAAAAGGACGATTTGATGGAGATAGCGCGGCACTTCAGTCTTGTGGTGAGTCGGCAAATATTAAAAAAAGAGTTGAAGGCATTGGTAGTGGATGAGATGGTGAGAAGGGAATAAACTCAAAGTCCGTCTCGCCCGACTACAGTTGGAAGCTAAAGACAGGCAACTTCAGTTGGAAGCTAAAGACAGGGAGCAAGACAGGCAGTTTCAGTTAGAGATAAGGAAAATCGAGGCAGATAAGGAAGTCTGGATCCGGATACGGCAGATGGAGCTAGACTCCGAACTGCGCGCATCCGGTGTTGTTGGCAATCCTAGAGAAAGCTTTCCAATTCCTTCTCATCCACCTGCCTTTAATGTAGGGAAACATATTGCATTAGTGCCGGTTTTCCGTGAGACTGAAGTGGATGCATATTTTGGTGTGTTTGAACGCATTGCAGCGGCACTACAGTGGCCGGCTGAAGCCTGGGCTCTGTTAGTGCAGTGTAAACTTCACGGGAGAGCTCAGGAGGCGGTTGATGCTCTTTCGCTAGAGGATAGTCTAAGTTACGACCTGGCAAAGCGTGCCATACTTAGGGTGTACGAGCTAGTTCCCGAAGCTTATCGGCAGAAATTTAGGAATCACAGAAAGGGTTCTAATCAAACACATGTCGAGTTCGCCAGGGAGAAGGGAGTGATGTTCACTAAGTGGGTTGCTTCATGTAAAGCGGTGGATTATGCTGCTCTGAGGGAACTGATCATGTTGGAGGAGTTCAAGAGATGTTTGCCTGATCGTATTGTGGTATACTTGAATGAACAGAAGGTAAACTCTCTCTCTCTGCTGCCGGTGTGTTAGCTGATGAATATGTGCTTACGCATAAATCTGTGTTTTCTCCTGTTTATACTGAGAGGTCCCGTAGTGTGTCCGACGCCCCAGTTACTGGGCCGTTGAATGTGCATGACGTAACTACAGAGGAGAGAGAGTGCTATTATTGTCACCAACCTGGACATGTCATCGCCAACTGTGCAGTTCTGAAGCATAAAGAGCAGCCACAAAACATGTCCCCTCCAAAAAGTATCGGTCTGATTAAAGCAGAGTCATCCCTTATCCCTGCAACTGACCGTGACGATGGTGAGATAGATCCCTGTTTTAAGCCTTTTGTGTTCGAGAGGTTAATATCCTTAACTGGGGAGTGTGCCGATCAGAGACCTGTGTGCATATTACGAGACACCGGAGGCGCACAGTCTGTGATTGTTGCCTCCACACTGCCATTTTCTGAACAGTCAGCCTGTGGTTATGGTTCCACATTATGCGGCATTGAGATGGGTTATATCCCACGGTCCATACACAAGGTACATGTACAGTAAGACCTAGTAACCGGTTTCTACCCAGTCGCTGTGTGTCCAGCGTTACAGTTAAAAGGGATAGTGTTTTTAATGGGAAATGACATTGCGGGTAGTAAGGTGACCCCTGCACTCAGGGATGACTCAGATGCTTTCTTGCCTGATCCTACGATTGTGCCGGTGCTCCCAGACAAGGTTGGCAGGTTGGCAGACAAGCCTTTCGACTTTCCGACTCTCTCAGTAACCCGAGAGTGTCTGCTGATTTATCGGATATTCATCTTAGTTTTGGTGCTAATTCTACAGCACGTTGAGATCTGGGTAGGACTCAGCCTGTGGCCAATCATAGTCGTGTTCCTCTGTTATGATCCCTACGTAGCCTGTCTTAGCGTACACAAGCATGATCAGTGTCTCATGCGCTGGGCTCTGATCGTGCGGGACTACAAAACAAGACATCCGTCTTAAACAGAGCTCAGAGAACGCGTTGGCTGATGTATTGTCCAGGTTAGTATGCGATGTTCGGGTGTGATATCAGGTTGGTTTAGTGATGTTAGTGTGTGTTATTAGGTAGATTTGTTAGTGTGCTTGGTTCACAAAGCTGTGGGTTTGTGTCTTAAGGGGGGGGTGTTACGGTTGCTGTTACTGTCTGCTCATTAATCTGCCTGTGAGTATTTTCAGCTGTGTGTGTAATATTTAAATAAGCTGCGCAGTAGCCCTGACGTCATTGGCTGCCCATCCTCTGGTCTGCCTCTGAAGATCGTGATTGGAGCACGCCGGACCCAACGTCTTCCAGTCGCAGCGCAGCGCCGGCGCACACTGCCGGCGCACACTGCCGGCGCACACCTGCTGCAGATGATTATAAAGCCCGGGAACAACTACCACTCTGGAGGCTCTGTTGAGTGAACAGACGCCTCTCGCATTTTGCTCTTCATTCTGTGGTTAATCTTGTGTGTCTATCTCCGTGTGATATTGTGTGTTAGTAGAGTGTAGAGTAGGTTAGTTAGTGTTTAGAGTATAGTTAGGATTTGTGACTGTTGCCTTTAGTTTAGCTGTGTTTTGTGTAGACTCCCTTTGTTAGTTGTACCACTCTTGAAGTGAGGTTTTGTTTCGTTCTTTAGTTAGTGTACTAGTATTTATTTTCCCCACATATAACTAGACTCCTGTGTTAGAGTCCTTCCTTTGTTTGTTTCAGGCTGCCTGCCTGCCTTTTGTTTACATTGCTGTCTAAAATAAACCCCTTATGATAATTACCAATACCAATCTGGTTGTGTTGCTTCCCTTTGATTCCCCTAGTTCAGAAGGGAACGTAATACAGGCACATAGACAAACAGAAAAGCACACAGGTTTGTGAAGTATTTGTTCCATCTTTTTATTTGTATTATCCCTTGTTTCATTATCTCTTGCTTTTTATCTCTACTTCTGTCCTTATGTTTGTGCTCACTGCAAAGCACACTGTGACAATCCCCCTTTATAAATAAACTGGGATCTTATGGTTGCTGTCAGAAAAATATGAAGCAAAGCTCCAACTCACCTGCATGTCTTCATCTGTGCTGGAAGAAGCTGCATTCTGTTCCTGTGCAGGCAGCCACAATCCAACACTTTTCAACAGGTACTCTTTGCCTTCCTGAAAACAGTATAAGGCATATAGGTGTAAATGCATGTGTATATGTATGACTGTGCAACTAAACCCCAAAATATATCATATGTATACACTCACAGATGAGGACAACCAAATTAGCTTAAAAGGAAAGATTTTTAGTTTGCATCATCCAGTACATGCTGGATCATGAAAGCTCCATATATGTCAATGGCCATTTGATATATAAAGACTATTTTATTTTCAAAAGTATCACCTGAGTATTCAAAAATAGTTGCCGGTTGTGGGATGCTGTAGTGTGAATGGAGCGAGCCTGACCCCTACAGTTTACAGCTAGTATTACAGATCCACTTCATTCCACAGATCTCTTGTTTTCCCTCAGTTTGGTGATGTAAGAGCATGAAGTACTATTTGCGGTCATTTGCGCCGCTTTTTAGATAGCTACACCTGCCAATAAAAAAAAAGCACCTTTCTATTTCCTATGCAAAGGTCAGCCAGGATGATCTAAAGACACTGTGAATAATGTTCACTATGTTCTTACTTCCTGTATTAACTGGTTTCCAGGTAACATAGGGAAAGGTTTATGATATTTTAAATATGAAATCCTGTCCTTACAGTAAAACAAAATGTCAGCTTAGGAGAACTGGAAATTGTTGAAAATGATGTGTTATTGAACTCAAAGACACATTAGTGAGTTGAATAAGTCAAATTTTGCAAAGTCCACTTTCAAATACAAAATGGGAAGCATTCTTAAGCATGCTCTACAAAAGTGTGTTAGAGAAATGTTTGGATTGAATGTTGTCTGCCTTTATTAACAGTTAGTAAATCAAAAATACATAAAATATAATTAACAAATTGTTCCAAAGTCATTATCAGATACTTCATGCTGTGAAGTTCTTGTAGAATATTTTCTAAATGAGTCCAGCAGGCTGCTCTTCCATCTCTCTCATTTATCAGATGACTCTATGACCTCAATGATCTGCCCAGTAATTAACATTCCTATCGGCTGACCTATCTGTGTGTGTGTGTGTGTGTGTTAACGAAAGTGTCCATCTGCTGATTAATGGCATACAATTCAATTTGTTCAGAATAATTAACTCAGCAGATTCTTGCTGTAATGTCTGTGGCGATAACTCATCGTGTGTGTGTGTGTGTGTGTGTGTGTGTGTGTGTGTGTGTGTGTGTGTGTGTGTGTGTGTGTGTGTGTGTACACTGACCTGGTTTCTCTCTGTACTGAACAGGTAACTTGCCATGAGCTGTAGAGCCTCAGGGTTGTCATGGTGATACTGTAATGCTCTCTCAATGAGTTCTTTGCATTTGTCTCCAGCCCCCTCTTCCATACTACATTCACACACCAAAAAAAAAAACCCAAATATCAATTCATTACCGAGGCAGTAACAGGAAATGGGATTATACAAGTCAAGAGTTTAACTTTGTGTGATCTACCAGAGGTCGGTGAGATAAACCTCTGCCACTGAGCAGTAGGCTACACAAACATCCTTCGCTGTGGGGAGCTCAGCGTCTTCATCTGCTGGGGCAGCAGCTGCAGCCTCAGCCTGCTGGAGGAACAGAGAGCAGATGACTTAAAGGGGACCTATCATGCAAAATGCACTTTTGTACGTCTTTTATACATGAATATGTGTCCCCGATGTGTCAGGGAACTCACCAAGTGTCAGAAAACACAACCCTCTCTCTTTTCCTCCATACCCAAATCTCTAAAAACGGGGCTGCAACGGATCTGATACAGACTGATACAGATTTGAACTAGAGAATGCAATTCCTGAATAAATTGCTAGTGGGAATGCTTTATGCTGAAAAGCTGACGCTAAACTGCTATGCTGAAATGTAATGTGTAAGAAGAAAGTGAATCATTTAGATTAAAATGAAATGTGTAAGAAGAAAGTGAATAATTTAGATTGAAATGAAATGTGTAAGAAGAAAGTAAAGAATTTAGATTGAAATGATACATGAACACTGGGGGCTTGAATACGTGATGAGAAGAAAATAAAGTAAAAAGGCTTGGAAAAGCAGCAGAATATTTGAACCGGAAACTTCTGAACTAAGTTGATGGCGAATGATCTGTCGCCATGGCAACGGCATTTGATGACACCCCATAATATGCTTAGATGCGTTGATGGCTGCATCGTTACCAAACCTGTGAAGTCTTGGGCTGTTTGGAGTATTTTCACTGAAGTTATGAGAAAACCGTGTTTCCAGGCGTGCATTTTGTTGCCATGGTAACGGCAATTGAAGAAATCTCAAAACTGTCCCGTAGATGTCTTCAAGGCTGGACTGTGAGCACACTTGAGCACTTTTTGAAAATGTTCATAGGAGTTATAGCGACATCATGTTTTATGGCGAGGGATATGTTTCCATGGAAACAGCATATGGTGAGATCTCAGATTTGGCGTAGAGCTCTTGAGGCATGGACCGGTGATATACAAGTGAAGATTGGGGGACAATTGGACCGTGTCCGTTGGACTTACAGCGACATCCTGTTTCATGGCGAGTGGTTTGTCGCCATGGCAACGGCATTTGATGACACCCCATAATACGCTTAGATGCGTTGATGGCTGCATCGTTACCAGACCTGGGAAGTTTTGGGCTGTTTGGAGTATTTTCACTGAAGTTATGAGAAAACCGTGTTTCAAGGCGAGCATTTTGTTGCCATGGTAACGGCAACGGAAGAAATCTCAAAACTGTCCCGTAGATGTCTTCAAGGCTGGACTGTTAGCATACATGTGAAGTTTGAGCACTTTTTGAACATTTTCATAGGAGTTATAGTGACATCATGTTTTATGGCGAGGGATGCGTTTCCATGGAAACAGCATATGGTGAGATCTCAGATTTGGCGTAGAACTCTTGAGGCATGGACCGGTGATATACAAGTGAAGATTGGGGGACGATTGGACCGTATAGATTGGACTTACAGCCTCATCGTGTTTCATGGCGAGTGGTCTGTCTCCATGGCAACGGCATTTGATGACACCCCATACTACGCTTAGATGCATTGATGGCTGCATCGTTATCAAACCTGTGAAGTTCTGGGCTGTTTGGAGTATTGTGTTGCCATGGCAACGTCATTTGAAGAAATCTCAAAACTGTCCCGAAGATGTCTTCATGGCTGGACTGTTGAAGTCTGCTGCATGTCAGTTGGAGTGATGACATCATCGTGTTCCATTACACAGGTTGTTTATACTTGAGCTAACGAGCTCTGTAGAGATCACAGGTTTCCATTGTTCTGAGTGAGAGATAAACCTCTTACATGTGAACGTTTTGTGGAAGAACCGTAACAGATATCTGTGAAATTTCAAAACGTGAAGCTTGTCAAGGAAGTTGAGTATCTGAAGTGTAATTTTTGTGTAGTTTCGGGTTAATAATGTGGCCTTTTTGTCAGTTTAACTAAAGGTGTGCGGCTGCTACCGTGAGGAAATATCTGCCTGAAATTACAATGGGCTTCAATGGAGGAATTTTGAAAGCTTTTGTCACTTCATGCCCTCAAGAGGCATTTTGTTGAATTATTTTGCTTAATTATTTGTCATTTTTCAAGCTACGAGATGTTTTCCTACGTTTTTCATGATAAATTATGTCCCAGGAATGTAGGGTTTGGGAATTATGGCAGTTTTAAAAAAATATATGAAGGCAAATTTCAAGATTTCCTCCCCTCTAGCTGTGACATCACGCACTCTAGTTAATGTTAAAATCTGAAGAAAACCTCTAAAACAAGGTCTGAACAATGTTTAATATCTCTAAAAGTAAGAATCAGATTTAAAAGTTGTTTTACACAAATAATGTCAGAAAGATGTGTAATATTTTAAAGTTGGAATGAGGTTTCTGAGTGAAAGTATGAATGAACAGTTAGCAGTTGAATTTGCGTGAAGATTTGTTGAAGTCTGAAGATTTCCTCCATTGACTTCAATGTTAAAAATGTGATGCATTATGGGATGTATCTCTGGAATTATGAAAGTTATGAATGAGAAAAGTAATAGCCATCGATTCCCGACCGAGCTGAACGTTTTGATGTTTGAACGGAGTTTCTGCGATGTTCAATGCGGGAGAAGAAGAGGACCAAAATACCGGCGGAATAATAATAATAAACTTTTCGTCCGTAGAATAACAGTTAGTTGGAATGCTGTTAACAGCATTCCCACTAAAATATCTCTGACGTCAGAAACAAGGAGCTCCGCCTATATGGGCAACTCTCCACCTATCAGGGGAATGAGAGGTTGCCGTGGCATGGTAACAGCATGGTAACAGCATGGTAACAGCATGGTAACAGCATGGTAACAGCATGGTAACAGCATGGTAACATGACGCTCGTGCCTGGTCAGCTGCAGCTCATTTGCCACAGAATCAGCCCTTGCAAAAACAGGGCTGGAATACAGCAAATAGAGCGAAATGAGGCATGGCTAAAATGCATGATCTGTTTGGTATTTTGAAAAAAAAACTTCACAGACATGTTTTATATAGGTATGTTCCTACAATATATTATTCAAATATAGCATGATAGGTCCACTTTAAAGATTCTTTACTTATAAAAAAACAAAAATAGTGAACATGGCATGCACATTTGTAATATTATTAACAATTAAGTTATCCAAAAAAACTGCACAACTTCCCTTCTCTCCCAGATAAACTCTATCTAAGTCATACAGGTAATATTTCAACATATTAGAGAAGAAAAAGAGCAGTTGTAAATAATGACATTAATGGTGGGTGAATTCCATTTAGCTACACTGGTAGTGTCAATGACCAGGACCCTAACTTCTTAATGGGACACTTAAATCTAATGGAGCCATTGTTTATGTTATAAGTGACAGCAGCAGCATTGCTTTTCTTTTTATACAATTCAAAATATCAGCTATAAAAAAAATACCTTTGAAGATCTAAATTATACAAAAAATGTGTGCCTTTCCTTGTTATCCTTTCTTAGCCAAAATCAAATTATGTGAGAAAGTCCTCGGAAGCAGACTCCTAGAATCATGCATATGACTTATGTCCCTGCATAGCAGGACTGAAATCCAATATTTGGTCTATTTTTGGAAGTACTCACAACTTCAATAATTCCTATTTTGATAGCCTAACTCTCTGAACTACTTTAAGTAAGCTCCACACTTCCCAGCAACAACTGGAATATGCCATACTTAAAGCAAAAACACTTACACTCACTGGAAAATACAGAAACAATGTCACTCTAACAACGGCTGAGCTCATTAACAGATACTTCAGAGAGAACCAGATGTGTCATCAGGGACAAGCTTGAAGAATTTAAAGAAAAAACCTGGAACCCATTCCTTTTATATTTGGAGTAAGGTTGTTGTGTGGAAAACACTTAAACAGAACACATTGAGAGGGAGGAAAAGGAAAAGCTGGTGGTAACTTTTTGATCTTTTTGCATTTGTTTAGTATTTTGTGTTGTTTGAGCAAATTTGAAGGTGTTATCAATTACAATTGCTGTATACGATGAGCATGACAGTGCTTTAAAATAAAAAAGTATTAATAAGTAAAATGATCAAGATACTATTGATAATTATTCATATATTGTTCAACAGCACCCTCTTGTGAAAATGAATACCATTACACTAGCATTAAGCCTTGGGTGTAATGGCATTTCTGCTTAGCTCATGAAGAGTATGTATATATAACCATTGAGGGAATGGAAGTAAGTATAGCGCTTTACTCACTGTGGTCTGGGCTTGTTTTTCCAATGCAGACAGCAACACTTGTATTCCTTTAGTGTAGAAGTCTACAGACTCCTGGCCGGTGTTGATTTGTCCTAGATACATGTACTTACTGTGGCCTACATCTGGGCTCAGCTCCACTGCACGCAAAAAAGCTTAGAGATATTTGGTCAAGGAGGCTCACTCAAACAGAATGAACATTTAACAGGGTTTAAAGGTCACCTATTATGCAAAATCCACTTTTTCATGTATTTCATACATAAATATGTGTCCCCTCTGCGTTAAGAGATTCTGAAAGTTTCGCTCACTTTTTGTCCTAATCCATTTATATAAAAACCTGTCTGAAAATTAGCTGATCAGATTTTGGCCACTTTATGATGTCATAACGATTTTTTTTGGCTTGTGTAACCATTAGCCAATAACCAACCAAGGTAACACTGAATCTCCTCCTAGAGCACCATTGTGTTCTTTTTAACCAAATATCTCTCAGAGGGGCGTGGGGAGGGGCTCCTTATCTTCATCTAAACTAAAGTAACAGACAGAGAATCAGCACTTTTGATACAGGGCTGAAACAGAGGGGATTATGGGATGCTACAATGCATAATTGTTTTGGTATTTCGAGCCAAACACTTCAGAGACATGTTTTGCTTATAACTGAGAGAACTATAATATATTGATGAAAAAGAGTATAATAGGGGACCTTTAAATTAAACAACTGCACATTCAAAAAAAGAATAAACCTGCATAAAGGATATTTCCTTAGCTTTTTCTGTGTCTCCTAGTTCAGAGCAGATGTGTCCCTGCATGTCCAAGGCTTGTAGGTTTGAGGACTCCACATCCAGGGCTCGTTGACAGAAAAGGCGAGCCATCTCAAAATCAAAACTGTCCATGCATTCCTCTGTCTGTACAACAGATAATCACATGGTATAACAACAAAAACATGCACAAGATAATCATTAGTCAAATACATTTCAAATGGCATCACTATTTCTGGTTAGTCTTTGTTGTGTATGTCTTGTCAATATCACCTTTTCGAGAAGCTGCAGCACAGAGTACTTCTCAGCTGACTTCTTCTTGGCTTTTTCATGTGCTCTTAGTTTCATTCTTTCCTGAGGTGACACTCCAACAAATCTTGGATCCACTGGTAAAAAATAAATAGAGAGACAGGGTTAGTTTTAGCTTATTTTGTCTGGTAAAGAGTTGGAATGTAAAGCAAAGCATGACTATTTGCTGTATGATAGGTTTAGGCAACTGTAAATAGCTATCAACATGTTGAATCATTGAACACAATTACGGTTTGGGTTGATGTCTTTCCTCTTCGGCTTGCCTTTCTTTTTGCCCTTAGCCTGTCCTCCCATAGTGGTGGAAAATATGTTTTATATTTTCCGGAATTCTGTCTTAAACACAGACTTTCCCAAAGTGTGAATATTACACGCGTGTCAAACAAGAAAGGATTGCAGTACGCATGCTCTGTTTCGTCACTGGGTGGCTGCTACGGAAAGAGGTAAAGGACAAGCTAAACGGTTCTACAATAACGTTTTTTTTACTATGAAATACATGACAGTGACACGTTTTTTGCAACATTGCGCTCTAAACCTGTGCTTTAAAACTGAAAAAGCCTATAAAAAAACCAGAACTTAAAATGTCTTTCTCCAAAGAACGGATAATTTAAGGCGGGCAATAAATGAATAAACCGACTTCCTGTTGGTGGGCGGGTGCTTGATATGATCGAGACGTCTGTAGCCCAATGAGGTGACGCGTTGAGGCTGAACCCCTCAACGCATCCGGAACTTGCTGGATTTCAACCAATGGGCAGTCACGTCAAATGAACGTCAACGCACAGTTTTTTTACACTTCTGTTGTAAATAAACGAATGACAGAGAGGCTACTGATAGTTAAATTGCTACCAAAATATATAACCAATACGGAATCGCATTACTCGACTGTGTGCCAAGGTAATACGCTTGAACGTTATCTAACTAATGGCACTCAGTATGCTTTCATAAAGCAACGATCGGCATGGTGTCGTGGGAGAGGCAATTGAATGACAAAGCAATCAAAGAGTAGCTGCTAGTAGTAAAGCTAATGCTATCTGCTGACATTACCAAGTGAACTCAGCTCTCAAAAAAATCAGCTTTTATTTTACAACAGCTTTCAAGGTAACAACACCGCAATAGAAAATGATTACGATTATCCTTCTTCTGTCGGTACTTTTAGTACTAACCATCCGTTGTAACGAACGTTATTTAACGTTTATCCAACGGTTAGCTTTATCGCTGATTTATAAAACGAGCGAGTAATGTTATATAGTATTACACTGATGTGTTGTATACGCCCCATTGTTGACTTAGCTATGCAATAAAGTCCACCCGTGTTTAATAATGTGGTCTCTTTTGTATAAACTGTACGCTTAGCACATCTCTCTGTTTCTTTACTTTGTAGGCTGTTGCGGCTAAGTTGATGTCATTCCTACCCACCAGTTTGCTCCCACTGACTGGTGTCGGACTGTGTCGTGTAACACAGGCAGCTTGTGGCCAATGCCACAGGCTCTACCTTCTGAGAGAAGCGGGATATCAACTTTTAAAAGAGTTCCCAAGCTAGCCTTAACAGACCTATCGTGTACCCTCGTGGCTGTTGGACTGAAGAGGGACAATTGTCATGTCGGAGTTAAATCAAGAGGTGGTGGATTTGGTTTGGGGCAGACCCTCCAGTGGAGTAGTTTCTGCATCCATATTCCGCAGATGGACCCAAGGTATGCTGCTTTATCTAAGTATTATGATATAAATGAAAGCGGTTTTGCAGAAAATAATGAGAATATATTCCACCCATGTTAGGCAGAGAGCCAAGTGTCTCCAGGTTTTTTTTCTATCCCAAGTTTACAACAGGCAATTTATTCTGTTCAATCCTCCTCTATAGCTGATGGCCAACTAAGCAGCTACTTATCCTGTTGTTGTGTTTGAGTTTAGTTTAGTTTATTTATTTATTTATAGTGTCGTGGACAGTCCCCATCAATGAACTGTCACACAAACAGTAAATGGAGCAGCTTTAGCCGACATGGCTAATTTCCAGCTGTTGTCCCCGGCCAGATGGCAATAGACACTCTTAAAATCACAATATATCAACAGCATTAGTTGTAAAAAAAATATAAAATAAAATAAAAAAGTTCAGCAGGAATTTGCTCTATGGCCTCCAATGCTAACACCTGTGGCTTTATGCACAGTGTCTTAAGAAATGCCTCACCTGTTATCACTGTCAACATGTTTACGGTTCACTTGCCTGTGTTTTTATGACAGGATTTGTTTTTTGTGAGAATGAGAAAACAGCACTGGAGCAGTTTGAAGGAGGGCCATGTGCTGTCCTTGCACCTGTCCAGGTAAGGTCTAGTTCAACATCCTAGAGGTTCAAGGTTCATTTATTGTCATTTTACAACACAGGGTTGCCCAACAAAAGTCTGTTTGGCTGGACCATGTGTTTAAATAAAAGTTAGCGTGTAACTTATTGCACCATTTGAATATTGCAAATGTGTAGACCAAGTTTGTTTTTCTTTACAGGCCTTCCTCTTCAAGAACATTCTTTTCAACAGAGAAAGTTCAAACTGGAGACAGATGACAGGTAGAGAGAACATTCCAAAGCATTGTTTTTCTGTTGTTTTAGGTAGCTGTATGGATTGGTTAAACCATGCATATTCTATGTGTGTGTCTGTTAGAAGAGGAGCAAAAAACAGTACTGTGTTCCACACTGAGTGAAATCCTGGAGTCGGCCTGCTCCAGCCCCTCCACAGGGTTCTGCCTGGTGACCTGGGCCAAGGGACAAAGCCCACATAGCAGCACACAGTCACAGTCGCAAACACAGGAGGTGCCAGCACCGGAGAGCAGCCAGCCTCCACAGGAACAGCAACCCAGTGAGGCCTACATCTGTCATATTTAGAATAAAAGTGCACAGACCTGTTCCACTTATTTTCCTAATCCTGCTTTACCAATAATGATACAAACTATAGAAGACTTAACTAGATTAACTATTTTACAGTATGTCGTTTTTTCTGTGCCATGCTCTGATTCTACTATTTGTGTTTTCTTGTGCCAAGCTGCTTTGGCTGCTGAAGACCTTGGCTTTGAGCGATTTCACAGTGTTGTCCAGTAAGTAAAACTTAATATTCTCACCACAGCACAACACCTTGCATCTTTATACTCATGACCCTCTTCCTCAAAGCAGATAATCTTGTCATTAAATACTGCTGTGGGTTTCTGGCGGGATTAAGACCTTACAAATCCTTGTTACATTTGCCAATATTCAGTACTGGGATAGAGAACTACATATGTGTTAGATACTATCAGTGGGGGGGGGGGGGGTCATTTGATTAATTTAGTCTGCAAGACTTGGCTCTCACATTGAATTAGCTATTTCACTCTGCTTACAAATTGCTGACCAAGCACTTTCACATATTGCCTAATAAAAAAATGTCTACTACCTTTTTACACGCATTCTGTCCGTCACAAACTAAGTGTATGCAAGGCTGCTATTGCCAGAGGGATATTGGAATTTCATCACACAGCCTGCTGGCAGCTGAGACCCCAGTCAGCAGAAAGCAGTGCTGACTCACAAGGAAGAAGTGCATGCTAACTGAGACAGACAACTCCACTAGCAGGCTTTCCAGGGTGGAGCGAAGGAGGGTAGTGGCTCCAAAAAGTCAAGAACCCATTTTTCTTTCCCCTTGGCTGCGTTTAGTTGATTTATTCCACATTGTGAAAGTTATCAATATGAAACTATAATTAATAAACCAGTTATATCGATCCTTGAACCTTACAAATCTGTCTTTTGAGCGTTTCATAAATCATTTTTATGTGTGTGTGCCCTTCCTTCAGTAAGCGGACTGTGATGTCAGTCTCTGGTCTCAGAGAGGAAGTGTTGTCTCTCTGCCACACCTGGAGGGGGTGCTGTGGAGTCTTGCTTTTCCTCTACTCAGTCATCCTCACTAAGGTAAAAAGAAGAAATGGCAACATAGAGGGAGGATATACATATTAAATACTGATTGGCAATACTGAGATTGGTGATGTTGTTTCTACTGGCATATTTATTAAGTGGTTATTCAAATAAGACAGCTTTTAAACACGTACAAATATTGTTTGTTTTCTTAATTCTTAAAGGTGGGGTAGGTAAGTTTGAGAAACCAGCTCGAGTGCACTAGAATTTGAAAATACACAACCGGAAAAAAATCTGCCACTTCCTTACAGAGCCCCTCCTCCAACACACACGAACGCGCACATGACCAATGAGGGCACGAGATAAGTTTGTGCACAGATGGAAGGCTGACAGGCAGGTAGGCCATCCAGTTATTTTAGCCGGGCCGGCTGAAATGATTGGTCGTGCTTTTTACAGTACTACGGCTTCCACAGATGACATTTTTTAATTAATTTTTTGTCAAAGCACTTAAGATATTCATTGCTATCGGGACGTTAAGAGCATTCCATGGAATATAACAAAAAGTGTATCTCGAGCCGGTTTCTCAAACTTACCTACCCCACCTTTAATAAGCTTTTAATCATGGTGTTATATCATTTGTAGTATTTTTCTCTGTGTTCATCAATGTTTAAATTAAATGCAGACTTGTTTTCTGTGCAGGGCATAGAGAATATAATAAATGAGATCCAGGACACAGTGGAGCCTCTGATAGACCCTGTGCATGGCCATGGCAGGTAAAAAAACACCTCTCTTAGGTTGACGACTGACAGCCCTTCTTTTTTTTTTGTGGTAAAGGTTACAGGATGTACAGTATTATGTTTTCTCTGAAAGTGCTGATGTCTCCTTTCTTATCTATCTTTTCAGCCAGAGCCTGGTGAATCTCTTTGTAACTGGCCATGCTGTCTCTAATGTTTGGGATGGAGACAGGGAGTGCTCCGGCATGAGTAAGACTCGCACAAAGTTACAGACACGCCACATTCACACAACAGATGCATGCACAAATACCACGCACAGAATTCAGATCATTCTTACATCCCACATCAATGAACAAAAGGCAACAACTAAATGCCAGTTTGATGTAATTAAACTAATTCTCTTTTTGTTGCTGTTTATTTTCTCCCTGTGCTGGTAGAACTGCATGGTATTCATAAACAGGCATCAGTTGGCTTCCTCACGCTTATGGAATCACTACGCTACTGCAAGGTAAAGACGCATACATGACGCAAATGTGCAAAAGTATATACATATTGTCCAAAAGTTTATGACTAATAGAAATGTGTATAAGCTAAGAGTTAAGAATACAAATAAAGGTTTGGTACTTGTGACTCACTGAGATGCAGGACAATGTGTGAACACAGACCACGAGGAGAGCTACCGTGTGAAAATATGCGCTTGGACCAAACAGACTAACTGTCTCCTCTCTCTTTTGGCTTGATAAAAAAAAATGTCATCTGACAAACTTAAGATATCTTGAAAAACAGGAATCTTAGATATGTATTTATCATCCAAATCCAAATCCAGCTAAGACATGAACTCTTAATTAAAATAGGCAGCAATCGGCCTATATACATTTAAAAGCAAGTTGATGTTGCCAAAGAGAGCTGGTAAGAGTGATTTTAGACCAACTCATATTAAATAAGGAGAGGTCTGTTTATATTTGTATATAT